ATTCCAGCTCCTCACCATCTTCTTCCTCCTCATCCTCATCATCCTCATCATCCTCATCATCATCATCATCATTTACTGCAATGACAGTTTCTGTGTTACTGTCCTGGTCTGCCACCATTTCCATCATTTCTATCTTTCTGACATGTGCCAGGTCATCTAATGTTGGTCCCCAAGATGAATCCATAGACTTGTGTGGAATGACCAAACAAACTTTATCCTGCCAGATAAGGCATACATGTGCCAGAAAGCTGGCTCTTAAATCCAGTTGATAAATGATATTGATATCTTGTTCATTTTCAATGCCTTTTATAACACATTGCCACTCTTCAATAAGCCATTCTTGCATTGCACTGCGTTCATAGGAGAGTCTTCTCAGTTCCTCTTTGCATCGGTCCAACTCCAGCAAAGCTTTGATTCCCTTACGCACATCCTCATTTCCAAGCCACTGTGGAATTGCATTTTCAGATGACAGATCTGTATCATCCAAACCAACATCCTGCCATATGTCATCATCAACATCAAGTTTGAAAAGACCTTCAGTAGCTATTTTATGTGGTGCACGTGCTCCACGGGGACTTTGTTTTGCCTTGATCATCTTTTCTAGTTCACTGCAGAGATTGTTGTATTTCTTTGCAAGCTTTTGAATCCCTGGTTCCTTGCGCTTTATCTGAGACTCTGAATGTTCTTGAAGTTTTTTACCTAATAACAGTCAATTAGTATATATTTTATTGTAGTGTAAAACCCATACTTACTATTGGTTGTAGTTTTGCGGTATCTCTCTCTAAGCTGTCCAACTCAAATTTTCGCTGCTGCAAGCGATTTCTCAGATGCTGTTTTAAAGCCAAGGCATTTACATGCAGACGAAGAAATTTATTTCCAAGCAGGCGCTCAAGATTTAATCGCCCATCAGCTCCCAGAGTATTGCGCTTGGTGTTTATTGACTTTTCAATCTTGGTGAACTTCTCTTTTAGTTCATTGATAGATAGTCTAACATCTGCAATCTCCCAGCCATCATCATATTTGCCAGTGTGAACCATTGTTTCAAGTTTATAAAGCTCTGCTTTGACTCCACTCATCTCATCCTTCAACTCTAAAATTTCTTGAATTAGCTTATTTGCCAAATTCTTTGACTGCCTTGGACTTGGCTTGGTTTGTTGAACAACTTGTGCTGCCCATTCTTCTCTCAAAAGATCCTCACTTATATCAAATTCTTCCAGCTTAGCCAAAATAGCAGCAGCTTCATTTTTATGAGCAACAGCAGCATTCCACTTTTTTCTAAGCCATTCACCCATGCCTAGAAGAGACTTCTGATCCAAATGCTTAACCTGAGTGTCAATTGTATACAGGCGTGTATAATATCCACTGACTCTCAGAGAGGGGATCAGAAGTTTGATTGAGCTCCAAAATCTCTCACAGCCTTCACCATCAGTAAAGCCAAAACCTTTACACTTTCTTGGATGATAAATCAGTTGACAAGCCCATTGGTGACCATATGCATGGAA